ACGCTCTTCCGATCTCCCCAAAACCCCAAAACCCCTCTTTTCATAATTACTGTGAATAATAGAGATTTGAAATAATAATAATTTATAAAATGAAAGCAGTATCCATTTTAAGTGTCATTGGTATAGTCGGCTTAGTTTAGAACTACGCCTAAGCAGCAGTCCCAACTGCCATATTCCATGGCTTTGGTGATACCTGTATTTTCCCAGGAATGTGGGAGTTTACCGACACTATTGCAAACTTGACTGGTGCTTATGCCCACTGTGTTGAAATTGGATATGGTTCAGTTACCTCTATTCTTGAGAACTTTGAGACTTAAGCTGAATCAGCATGCAAGAGCGTTTAGGAAAATCCAAATTTCCAAGGAGAGTTCAATGTTCTCGGACTTTCATAAGGAGGTCTTATTGCCAGACATATTGCTGAGAGATGCGTTGTTAAGGGTAAAGTAAGAAACTTGGTCACTGTCGGAGGTCCAAATATGGGAGTCTCAGCTACCCCTAATTGCTTCGAGGGATACTTCTGCAATATTCTTAACTTCATTGTGAAAAACTTAGTTTACTTCAGTCAAATTCAAGACTTGGTTGGTCCAGCTGGCTACTTTAGAGACCCTAACCATTTAGAGGAGTACTTAGACTATTCAGTATTCTTGCCATTCGTTAATGGTGAGAAAAAGGGAAACAATACTGAGGCTGTCTTTGAAAAATTCTCTACCTTGAATTCTGCACTCTTCATTATGTTTAGTGAAGACACTATGATCTATCCAAAAGAGACAGCTTGGTTCTGGCAACTTCAAGCTGATGGTACTGTTCTCCCAGTTAACCAAACTTCTTTCTACAAGAACGATTTAATTGGTCTTAGAGCACTTGATGAAGCTGGAAAAACCCAATATGTTGAGTTCGAAGGTAACCATTTGCAATTCACTAATGAGCAAATCAGAGACGTTATTGCTCCAGTTTTATTGAAATGATTCACCTAATCTATCAGATCTTAAATCATATCATATATTCATGAAATTAAAGATTAAATCAAATATTAATTCTTATCATTAATCAAAATAAGAAGCTCCCCTTGAACATTTCTATTTCATCTTTGTCAGATTCTCTGGGAGCTAAAGGCAGGTTCCTAGAATATATCAGTTTTTTGCCCAAATTTTATTCTGATTTATTGTCTGTATTATTGACATTAAAATAGTATCTGTTAAATGAGTCAATCTTGGATAAGGGGCCTTTATTAAGTAATAGTTCTATGCTTTTCCCACCTTACTGAATGATTTTACGTAGATTCATTCCTGAAAGCCTTTCCTTTAATTATCTTTGAAGTTCAATCAAATCCTCTTGATCTATATTATTGCTTCCTTGAAGTTTCTCACTTGAATTAATTTTTGGACTGTACCCCTTTTCATTTTATAATGCCATATTTCGAGCCATCTATTAAAGCTGTTCATTGGCCTTTTTTCTTTAGAATTTATTTTTGTAAGGGGTTGATCTAATCTATAATAATTTGCTCTATATGCTTTCTTATTCTCTTAGTTTTTATATTTCCTCGAATTAAATTAGTTATTAAGCATGGATTCTTTGAGTTTATGATCCCTATTTCTTTTTAATTATTCCTAACCTTTTCTATAGTTCCTCATTTTTCTTTAAAAATTCATCATCCACATCCTGGGCAGATACTGGATTATGCTACTAGCTTTTTACAACTTCTTTTATCCTTTTAATTGCTTTAGATAGCTATATACTATTTCTTCTTTTTGGAATTTTATCTTTTTGTGCTTGTGTTTCAACATCTTGCCTTTCTGGACTTAATGCATAGGGAAAATTTTCTCTTCCAAATAGCTGAGATCTTCCTTAGGAATCATTTCTAAGGTGAGAAAGTCTTGATTCCAAAGTAGATTATCTCTATGTAAATTAATTCCTTCCAAATGACTGTTACCGATATTTAGATATTTCATCTAGATATTAAGTCTTTTGATATTATATATTTTGGAACCCTACTGATGAAGACATAGGTTTTAAATTTAGGACAGTTTATGTTTGGCTTTTATCTTTTAAAGTTATTTTATCTCTAGGTATGCTCGGTGAAGTAGATTATCGTTAAAAGCTATCTCTGACAATCTCAGCTTCTTTTTTTCTTAAAATGCTTTACTTGTCTATTTCTATGAGTTCATCACATCAAGGGGTAAATGATTTCTTAATTAGTACTTTAGATACGTCTGAAAATGTTGTCATTTGCTACTTTTTGCAACTATTTAAAACTTGATTCTTGAAAGAGCTGATAGCTGGGTAAATAGCTTTTGGATTTTTCCTAAATAAGTGCTACTCTGTTGCACTATGAATCATGAATGAATCATTAGATTTTTCTAGCTCATCTCTTGTTTATGCTATGCTCTGCATTCTCTCATAAAAGAATCTCTGCCTTTATTAAACAATTTTGTTCAACTATCTCTATATATCTTTTGGCATTTTTGTGATAAAATCTAGTCTCTTAATTACATAAACCTCGCATTAGGTTTTGCAAATAGCTGAATATAATACCTCTACATTAAAGTTTTATTTATTGAATAGGTCTTCCACTGTAGGATGGCCTTTCCTGTCCTTTGTAAGTATACCTTCCTCACCAATCCACTAGCCAGACTCCTTTAGTTACAAAACAAAATTATCTTCGGTATTTTTGTAATACATATCAATAATAGTTTACTTTGAAGGATCTTTTAAGCTTTTTGATAGTAGCTTTTGGAATATCATCTTTTCATCAACATAATCATCAGGCTAAAGTTTTTGAATGAGTTTAATGAATTTGAAGTTTTTATTAGAAAGTAACTCTACTTCTCCACTCTTCAAAATATAGGCCTATTTAAGATGCTCGCCTTCTTTGAATAAGATATGACCTGGAGGAAACTTCTCAACTTTAAAGCATTTTGTTACTCTATCCCTAGTGATCCTTGATACTTTGGATAGTTAAGGTATTGAATCACCAATAAAATCAAATTTTTCAACATACTCTGGGGAGTTATACATTTTCATTACAAATCTCCTTAGATTTTCGTAGGGAATCATGAGACATTTGACCTATGTTTTTGTCAATGCATAACCTCTTTTCTCTTCTAATTCAGATATAATATTATGATATCCGAAGAATTCACCTGCCTTAAACAATATTGTAATGTCTTTATCCTTCATGAGCATGTTTTATTTTGCTTCCTTCAAAGAAATCTCATCAATTGAACCGGCATCATAAAGCCTATGGAGTTATAAATACTATTGTATATTTGTTCAAAAGAAAGTATTAAGGTACCTTTTGGATTTCTGATTCAAGCTGAGTCTAAAAGAATTGTATATGGCCTTCAACCAAAATGAATAATGGTTATTTTTCTTTATCGTATTGTGTTATAAATTAACTTTCTTTGAAGACAACAGGTTCTAATAGTTGCAAAAACTCCTTTTACATGCTTGGTATTATATCTTTAATCTCTTCAACCGTATGAAACATTCCCTAATAAAGATTCTCCTAAACTATTGTTAAATATCATTAATTACAAAGTTTTATAACTGTCAGTCCCCTCCGTTAAGGTCATTATAAAGTGTTTATATTTAACCTCTAAGTATTTGCAGGATTGATACCCTCTTAAATTTTTGCATTAATGGTGACAATTCCATAAAATTTTATTTAGATTAATTAGTTATTTTTCTAATATTTTTAGAATGGGGCATAATGGGGTTTTGGGGTTTTGGGGTTTTGGGG